CTACTGTAAGGTCTCTGCTGGGTTTGTCTGGTGCTTTGTGATGCTGGTAATCTCTGTTGATGTGGTAGATAACTGGTCTCCACATATTTCCTTGGTGGAGTCTTCCTGGGAAGGGAGGTAAGATTCAAAACCTAGATTACATGGGCTTTGGTAGTCACTTTTATAAGTTGAAATTTTATTTTTGAGTTTAAAGAGAAGGCTTTGGAGGGTTTATACAACATAAGTTGATCTTTAGTTAGAACATTCTGCTGAGTCAAAGATGGACTATAGAAGAGCAAGAGTTGAGGAAGAGAGGCCAGTTAAGAAGTGTGCAGAAATCTAGATGAGAAAGGGTTGTGACTAACGTTAGAATAATGCTGGTGAAGGTGATGAACAGGAAGATTGAAGACATTTTGATTGCAGAACCATCAGAGGTTTCAAAAGGTTTGGATATGAGATGTGAAAGGAAATAAGGAGTGAAGACCCGAAGAAAAAGGTGAAATCACTAGCCACAAGAAAGTCATTAAAACCACTGCAGAGGTAGGAGAATATGTTGGTGCTTGTATCAATCACTTTGGTTTTGCTGAGATAAAATACCAGACAAACACAACTTAAAGAATAAGAGTTTATTTTGTCTCATGGTTTAAGAGGTTTCATGGGACAACATGACAAATACAATTTAAAGGTGGAACAGGTTATTCTGGCTCACGGTTGCAGAGGTTTCTGTCCATTGTCAACTGGCTCCATGGTAGAATCAGCATGGTGAAAAAAGCTGCTGATCTCCTGGAAGCCAGGAAGCAGTGGGAGACGGAAAGAGACAGAACGAGAGACAAAGTCTCTGACCAAAGAATACACCCTTTCAGATGATGCCACCAGTGACCTATGTCCTCCAACCTGGCCCCACCTCCTAGGAGTACATTTAGCAATGAACTTGAGGTTCCTTCCCTCAGGATCCAGTTGCCTCTCTAGACCCACCTCTGAGCATTGCTATGCTGGGCATCAAGCATTCAATATTTAAGTGTTTGTGGGACACTTCGTGTTAAATCTTAATACTTTGCAACTGGAGACAGGAAAAACAAATAATATATTTGCAGGGAAGTGACCCCAAAGGAAAATGCATGACGGAATAATGGCGGCAAGGGCAAGATCTATCCTTCTACTCTGTCCTCATGGGTCAAAAGAGAAACAAGAGGAAATGTACATTTAACTGGAAAGTGGTATTGAGGAAAACAAGATGTTGGACAAGACAGGTAGAAAAAAAGAGATTGTTAGTGATAAGGTTAAGAATTTAGAGGGATTGAGACATAATCAGATTATACTAAAGGAATCCAGGGGTGGTGACTGTAAATGAAGCTAGAAAATGAATGCTAGATGAAATGAGTGCTGGATGAAGCCCCAGGCCTCCAGGATTCTGCTACTGTCCCTCAGCACTATCATGAGCAATACACTGAAAGTACATGTTCAGAACAAGGAATGTTAAGCAAGAAAGTCTGGTTTAAAGGTCAAACTATATAATTTACCAGTTTTAAGGTTCCGGCTGGAATGTTATGACAGCAGGTATGTTCTGTGCTGCTGGGGGGCGTGGGCAGGGGTCTTCTCTCTGTTTCACAGTTTTGCTTGGCTCTTTCCTAATTTCTACATTTATTGTTGGGTAGAGTAATTATGACATCAGAAGGAAACCATCCAATCATGGTTTCTGCTTTTCCTTTAAATTTTTTTCTTATTTTTATTAGCATTTTTCTTACTATATCAATATCTTTCTTTGTTACCTATCTCATTTGCTCTATAGATTTTTATATATTGTTCAGTATGCTAGCTTATAATGCCTCATTTCATGTTTGTGACAATTTTGGAGTCCAGAATCTTACTCAACTGGGATGTATCTCTTGTCATAAATCACAGCTATCGGATATCAACCAGTTACTTATTTGCTGTCTCGATGACCACGTCATGTGAATTAGTATCATTTCCATAGTCGTGTTGCTGTGTGACATGACGGATGGTATGACGGCTGGATAATTTCACAGGAAGGATAAGGCAGCATCTTCAAACAAAACATGAACTTCATGAGATAGCAGCTGGTGAGGCTGTGGGATCGACAAATATCTAGCCACTTTGTCATCCAGCTAAACATTATCCCTTCCTTTAAAATTTATTTATGTTTATTAAGGAATTTACATATACTGTTTTATTAGTACACATATCACACTGCTTTCAAACTTAGCCATTTGAAGGAGCTTGCACTTTGGAGTTACAAGATTGCTTCTTACATGACGTGAAAAGAGACAAAAAACCAGGGGGGTTATACAGTACAAGTGTAAGAGAATTTAACCTGATAAATGGAGAAATTGGTGGTTTGCCATGGAGAGGCTCATTGAATCATGAACAGGTCATGGAGTTTGGTTGAGCGATTGGTTTTCCAATTGAAAAAGTTTTGTTTACAAATTTTAGCTTTGAAGAAAAACCTTAAAAATATTAGCGCAAATCAACAGTATTTATTCGGTGTTATGTGCTAAAATACTAATGTTTAGAAACAATTTCTAATAGCAGTAATTAAGATGGGATTCTGCATGCTTGCAGCTTCTTTATTACTGAAGGCAGTAATTGAGCCAGCTAACTGGATCTTTTGGAATGGATTGTCAAGATACAGAATGCAGATGCCGCCTACTTGGGCATACACAACGTTCCTATCTGAGGTAATTCTGTTCCTCCTTGGAATTTTACATTTAAATTCTTATGCCATATTTGCCTTCACATTGTATTATAGGGTTCGTAAAAGTAAGGATCATATCCTTAGAATTGGGGCCGGATGTGGTGGTGTACACCTGTAATCCCAGCACTCAGGAGGCTACAAGAGTTCAAGGCCAGCCTGAACTACAAAGGGAAGGTCCAGTCTCACACACACAAAAAAGGCCCTGGATTCAACACCCCAGTGCACCAGAAAACAGATCCTCAGAATTCTGCACAACCAATGACACACTATAGCTTCTTAGTAAACGTTGATTAAATTAGCAATCTAATTTGAATTTGAGAAGATTGACCAGGTTGGCAAATTACACTAAATAATACATCCATTTTTTCTATTAGTGAAACTTCAATTTGTGGTCAAAATTGAGATGGCAGAAGGAAAAAAATTGCACAAATACTTTAGTGATGTTAATCATTAGTTGTCACTGACTTCCTCCAACAAACCTTTCTGTAGTGATCATTTTGATGTGGTTGAGATATGAGCTGATAGACAAAGTCTCAGAGGCAGGAGACAGAAAAAGTCAAGGGTAATCAACAAATTCACAATCAATCCTCACCATGTTTACGTGCTGCACAAGTAACATTTGCGGCTGTCTGTGCCTAGAAGATGCTCTTGTCCTAACTGATAGAGAAGAGTCATTTTAGCATTTTATTCTTTATTAACGCAACAGATAGCATACTTCTGGGTGCTCCTGGGGAGTGTTTCTTAAACTACACTTCACTGGCTGTTGCACTTTTTAAATGATTTCATTCTAATTTGCTTCGCAGGCACTGTGCTGTGTGTTGTGAAGCTTACTTTGTTATGAAAATCCGTTGGAAAGTTGTTCATCTCTGAACTAATAAACAGCAGAGGCTTTGTGTGACAAATGTCCAAGGCGCCAATAACTAAAAATACTGATGTTAGGAGGGACATTAATTGTATATAGACACTTAAAAATCGATTAGTTCACAAAAGATATTCATTGCAAAGCTAGCTTCCAGTGATTGTCCAAAAGTTTCAAAGGAAAAGCCATTATGTATTCCAGTCCATAATTATATTCAAGAGAAACAAATTAGATGCTTCTAGTGAGCTATTAGAAGCCCAGAAATGTGCTTTACCTAAGGCATCCACCAGGACTGCAGACAATGCATTGGAGGTTGTGATACCGCGGAAAAATATAACTGCCAACCTGCTAGATATAAGGTATACCGAGTTCGCGTCTCCTGAAACTGAAGAATGACTTCCAAAGCACAAAAGAGGTTAAGAGTAGGACATTTTATTGGGAGTGGGAATAGCTCCTGAGAGACGGGACGGGACTGAACCCAGATAATGGGTTGCTACCGAGCCCCTTTGTCAGGGGTAATTTATACAACAAAGTCAAGTGTGGGTGCAACGTGGGTCAAACTATAATTAACCTATAGGATTACAAGTGTAGCTGCTTAGGTAATATTGATCCAGTAGGGATCAGGGATCAATATGTCTTTGTTTTTTTCTGTTGACGTCCTTGACAGCCCAGCCCCTGACCGTCTATTAATTTCTATCTACCTTAGCTGGCTATAGTAGTTGGACATCAACCCAGATGTGCCATCTTCTTCAAAGTCCACTCAGAAATATTGGTTTGGCTGCGAAACTGTTTCTGGTTAGGTATAAAAAGGTCATTTGCAAGTTGCTAAATTTTTCCCGTGGGGTGAGGTGGGCGGACGCAGGAGTTGTATTCAGGCTATCAATGTGCCAGCCTTCCAAACCCTGTAAAGAGGTAGTAGAGGCAGGCCGAGGAGCGACGTTCAAAGAGACAACTGATTGTCGGGAAGAGTGCAAGGCCCTTCAGAGTTCCTTTTATCCATCTGCTCGCCAGCCTTCTAGTGCGGTATGCGAAAACCTCGTCTAAAGAGAGCAAACGCAGCATTACAGAAATTTGGAGGCTGTTCTGGGCAGGGGAACAGAAGAGCTCAGCACCCAGTTTGGGTGCTGCTGGCAAGGTCCTCCTGCGTCGCGGTGGCCCCGTGATTTGGCCGGCAGGAGGCAGAGGCAGAGACTCTGCGAGCAGAGGGACGGCAAGGAGGGAAAGCCGCGCTCAAGCGCACTTTGCCGCGGAAAGGCGGTGACTCCCGGGTCCGGATGGCTCGGGGCAGTGGCTCAGTCCTTCCGGACAAGTAGGGTCGCTTCGCAGCTGCAGCCCCAGTCCCGCGAGCTCCTGCAGGGGCCGCAGGGTGAAGCCGCCTGCGGCGGGGGAAGGAGCCGCGCCCCTTCCGCAGTGGGACGCCCCCGCCTGGCTGCCCTTCCCGCTGGCATGGAGGGCCCTGAGGCTGTGCTCACGCCCCGCCCCGCCCGGTCCCTGCCGCCCTCAGCTCCGACGCTCCCCGCTACCTCAGCTCGAGCCCCGGCCGCGGAGCCATGGCGAAGCCCCGGAGTCGGCGTCCGTACCTCGCGGTGTGCCTGGTCGCGGCGCTGGTGTCCTTCCTGGCTGGCCTCCTGCTGGGTGAGTGGGGCGCCGCGCCCTCCCTGCACCCTCCCCGCGCCGGCCGCACCCCTATCTGCACCCCGGCCGCACGCCTCCCCCGCACCCCTGTCTGCACCCCTGTCTGCACCCGGGGCCACACTGTCCCCCCAGAGGGACCCAGGGCGCCCGCTGCAGCGCGGGGCTGGCGCCCGCACCCGCCCCTGAGCTCTCCACAGGGCCCTCTCAGCAGCACAACTTTCTGTAGAAACCGAAAATAGTCGAAATTCGAAGTTGTTAGGTTCTCCTTGAGTTTGATCTAGTGTGAGGGTTGTAGAAGAGACAGTTTAGGACGTCACTGTGCATAACAACGGGAAAGATCAATCTGCAGGATCAGCTCCCGGGACCGCGCCGCGCCGCAGGAAACTTCCCTTTCCTGCTGTCTCACACCCACACTTCCCAAGCTCCCCGTGTGCCCCAGCACTGTCACGGTTAGGTGACCTCCTCGGGGGTCCCAGTCTGGAAACACGCACATCCTCAGGGAACACTCACCGACTCAGGGACAGTGATCATCAGAGTTGAGAGTGTTCTGCATTGAATAGGAATCTTTTTTTTTAAAGCACCAAGATTTATGTATTTATTTATTTGCTAGTTACTTGTGGGATTTGCCTTTTTTATTTTGGGAGAGGATTCTTTTCACAATGGATCATGTGTGTGTGTGTGTGTGTGTGTGTGTGTGTGTGTGTGTGCGCGCGCGCGCGCGCTTTTCCCTCAGGCTGGCTTGTCAAGCCTCACAAGGAAACGACCACTACAGAGCGCTATCATCAAAGTTTGCGGTGGAAACTCGTATCAGAAATGAAAGCAGAAAATATTAAGGCTTTTCTTCGGTAAGTTTGTTTTGCATTTTTCACCCTAGAAGTAGTATTTAAAATGCTGCATAGTCAAAAGTGTATGAACACTGGTTACATCCTTTCTTGAAGTCTTTGTGTGAAATAATGCATTTACTCATTAGTTTATGGTTATTTAAAATCTCTTTAAGCCCGTGGTAGAGGAGAAATATGTAGCTTGTTACAAAAGTAGGTGTTTCTTCCCTAACTCCATCTTCCAAAAACTTATCCGGTTGGTTTACTGAGAGACGTTTTAAATTCATGTAACTTTGGACCACAACTGAATGTTGTTCTTTGTTCCTCATGCATGCATTTAATCAGCATATTTCTTCTTTTTTAAACACACCATGTTGTCTTAGGGAAAGTAAAGACTGTGGACTAGTGATTCAGTAAAAAAGAGATCAACACTTCAGATTCTGTCTGCTACAAAGTTGTTTACAGATAGGGCACAATGAAGACAAGAATGATTAGTGCAAACCCTCCAGCTTCGGAGCATGATGAACACTGATATTGGGGGAAATGTTTATCAACTTCTTGGAGCAGTTACCATAACATTTATGTCTGTGTGCAGACTTCTTCACTGGGGTGCCATTTTAAAAAGCAGCTTCACTGAACTATAATTTACATAAAATAAACTGCGTGTCTATACTACCAACAGTTTGAGAGTTTTTACAGATGTATGTTATACTCAGCAAACCAGCTCCTCAGTCCAGTCACAAAGTAATCCATCATACCATCCACAGCTGATTTCTCACGTTAGCTCTGGTCCTAGACAATCACTAGTCAATTTTATGTCACTAGATTTATTTGTGTGTACGGATTTTATATAAATGGAATCACAGCATGTATCATATCTTGTCAGGCTTCCTTCACTCAGAGTAATAATTTTGAGATTCATCCAGTTGTATATGTCATTACTACATTAGTTTTCATTGCCGAGTAGTATTGTATCATGCAGGTGTACTACAACGTATACTTGAGGGGCTTTGGGTTTTATCTATTATTTTACTACGGTGAATGAAGTTTATATAAACATATTTACAGTAAGTCTTTGTGTGGATTCATGTTTTTATATCTCTTGGTATGACTGAAAGGTGAGTATGTGTTAGTTTTGTGTGTGTTTGGTGCCAGGAATCAGACCCAAGGCTCACACATGCTAGGCAATGCTCTACCCCAAGCTGCATCCCCAGTCCTGTGTAGCTTTTTAAGAAAATATAAGAGATGCCAAAATGGTTCTGCCATTTGGCATTGCTGCCCGTCAGTGTCCAGTTGTTCTCCCTCCTGGCCAATTCTTAGTATTCTCAATTGTTTTAATTTTAGCCAAATTAACTTCATTTTACTCACTGATACTATTGCCGAGTAGTGGTGTCTCACTTTGGTTTTGATTTGCATTTTCCTGGTGACTGGTGATATTAAGAATTTCATGAGCCTAGTAAACATTTGTATACTTTCTTTTATAAAGTCTCAGTTCAGACATTTTTTATTATGTATTCCGGGGATAAGCTCCTTGTCAGGCATATGTATTATAAACTTCTTGGGTGGCTAGGCATTTTGTTTTCATGCTATTTTTAAAGGCCAGAAATTTTTTAATCACAGTAAAGTCCATTTGATTAAAATTTTAAAGTTTCCTACTCTTTCTGTTACATGTAAAAATTTTTTTCACTATTCTTTTAGAAGCTGTTTAATTGAACTTTGTACATTTTTTTTTTTTTTCCTTTTTGAGACAGGGTCTATCTGCAGTTCAGGCTGGCCTTGAGCTCACTTTGTATCCCAGGCTGTCTTGAACTTGCAAGGATCCTCCTGCCTCAGCCTCCTGAGTGCTGGGATTACAGGTGTGCACCACCATGTGTGGCCACTTTGTACATTTAGTTCAGTAATCTACTTGAAGTTAATTTCTGTGTATGGTGTGAAGTAAAGTTGATGATATTCTTTTTTTTTTTATTTTAAAGAATAAAAGAAGGATAACATAATAATAGGGGGACTTAGCAAATTACAGACAAAATGGTAGGAAATTATCAATGGTTATCGTTTTACATATTATTGTCTACAAAATAGTTTCTCAGGAAA